AAAGAACAGTACCACCAACTACCCAGCTGTCAAAATGACCCAATCATCATTTCAAGTTCTTCTCCCTGATTTCCAACATCCTGAGTGTGTAGTGAATCTCTCCCTTCTCACCAACCTCACCATCGTTACATTAATCCAAACCATCCATCACTTTTCTGGCAACAATCTCCTAATCAGCCTTCTCACCGCCAAACTCACTCTAAAAGTTCACACACAAAGGAGCCAGGAGATTTTAAATAGACACGATTTTTTCATTCCCCAGATTAAAATCTTTCAGTAACTTCTTTTTCCCTTCAGATGAAGTTGAAAAGTGAGTTATAAGCACACGATGGTCCCCCTTCTCATCCTGACTCCCCTCTGTAATTGTCATCTCTTGCCACTTCCCCCTCTCACTCTCTTTGCTCTGGGTCTGTAGTTAAACCGGAGATATCTGCAGCAATCTGAGATGGCTTTTCAGTCCATATTCAATGGGTGGCCTCACAGCAAAAATGAAGAATAGCGATAGCACCGCAGAAAAAAAAGCAGGCAAAAGTGATTTTATCGAGTTCCTCTTTCAGTCAGATGTTCTTGTATAGGCAAAGTAGGAAAAAGGGGAACACAAAGATGACTTTGGTGGAACTATTTTGAAAGGAGAATGCATTTTTGTGTTTTCACCAAGCTATTAGCCCCTCTGGATTTTAATATTATAGTGGGGTCATAACAAGCATTTTCTCTATTGTTGGCTTTACACAGATGCAAAGTGGTACTCAGGAAGCGGGGAGATTGATGAATAGTTGGTTTGATGTATTTGAACCATTCACTACTTTGAGTTAAATGTGCATATTTTGTTCAAAATAGACAATGGGGAGGGGCGGTCCCCTTTTCCCTCTCTAACTTGCATAACATCAGGCCTCACTGCTTTAACTAATGAGTATTGAGAAGTAAAGGCTCCCACTGATTCCAGCAAGTCATTAATTCTCTGCTTGCAGAGCCACCGTGGAGTTTTTCACGGGCCACATTTTTTAGCCATTACTAGTTGCTTCTGAGCAGCAGTGCTGACCCCTGGGTTCCTGTGTGTGTCACGCACCAGACACATAATGGGGTCGAACTCCCTTTGGAAGGAATTTTACTGGGGACTAGAAACAAATGCGAAGAAGACGTGCATTCTAGCCATTCTGTTGACAAAGATGTCTCAGAACTTTTAACTTTAGGGAGCTCAATTGAGCTTGAATAAAAATGTATATTTAAACCAATAAATAACCTGGTAGAAGGTGGGTGGAGGTGAGCTACACAATTCTTTTAAATTAATTGCACAGTCAGCACTACCCTTTGTAACAACAATGTTCGCTCCATTATTGCTCCGGGTTTATTATTTGCTAAATAGCCTCATTGATCTTTCCTCAGTGGACTTCCCATTTTTACACATTATATTCTCTTGTGAATTGAAAAGCACTGTTTCTCAGAAGATGCTCAATCAACTTGAAAAGACTCATTTTCAGAAAGGTCTTAACCTACTTTCAACTTGAAGCAATTCAGAGATTGCCCAAACAAATATTAGGGCAGAGATGCATCACTTGACTATATGTTTTGTCCATCATTTACAGACCAATTTTGAGGTGTATCCAAAATTCAGAGATCTATACTCATAACTAAAGGTAATATACATAGAGTGGGGGCTGTGCAATCCATTATTCAATGGATTCTGCATTAGTTAATATCATAAATATGTCATGGAAAGCGTGACTATTTCATTAAGACTAACTAATGAACTTATAGCAAAATCATTATATGTGGAGGGAGGGGAATGCAAAGGCGAGACAAGTGGAAAACATGAAACAGTACCACCTCTCCCACAAATCAAGATAAATTCTAGTAGGAAAGGCAAGAATTCTACCCTGTGCTTTTTTAAATTTGAGATTTCATTTTATTCAGTAATATTTCTCTGCTATTTGGAAGAAGAAACAGTGATTTAATTATCCTAAACTCCTCATAACTGAGGTGTCCATAAGCCTGAAAGATCTACCACCCTAAATAACCAAACTTCAAATAGTATAGCATTATACACACACACGCACATACATACACAAGAAATGGTATATTTGACATTAACTGAATCAAAGGCAATACATAGAATAAAGTAGGGGAAAAAAATTTTTTGAGAGAGATTTTTGCTATAAGGTGTGTGTGCTTGACAGAGAGAGAAAGTGAGAAACCACCCCCACACACACCCAGGGGCATGGCCACACTGCAATCCCTTCTCCATTCTCCTCTCGGGATTTTGGGCATGCATACACATGCACCCAGAGTGAGTTTCAAGCCACTGGGTCTGGGACTCAGACTACAGTTGACCATGTGGAAGTCCAGCGCCTTAACCAGTACACCACCTGCTGGACCAAAGTAAGCAAAATGTTTAAACTTTTATAATGTTTGAAAGTTACAATGCTCTTTCTCCTTTGTTCATTGTCTAAAATTTTAACCCTTACAATAACTTAGCTTAAGTCAACCAATGGACTTATCCACATTACTTTTCAAACAGGTGAAAAGGGAATAAAAAGGTAAGTAAACACTGCAAATTAGTCATCTGCTGGAAACATCCGTACTTCCCAACAGTGACTAAGCAAACCATTTAATATGAACTTTAACAGCTTTTAGTCAGATTCATATGAAAAGGCATGATTTGATTTGGGCTTTCAAATGACTTTATCAATCATTCCCTTGATGTCAAGAATACTAAAAACCCATTAGTTCTTAGGACAAAGGGTTTGACTATATTAACCTTCAATTCACCCAGACATCCAGAGATAGCACTTGCTTTTCCATCAAATGAGAAACATGTTAGCAACTAAAAATATAAGTATCAATATATGCAAAGGTTGTGGAACTTCTTTCAAAATATCGAAAGACAATTCTTAGAATACAATAATTGGAACAATGACAATAGTTGGAATTTTTCTTTTTCAAGGGAAAGGGAAGAGGCAGAAATTTCAGCCCTTCTCCCACCTCCCCCAAAGATTTCAGGGTTTGTTTGTGTTGAAAATCAGAGTTATCTACCCCTTGAAACCTAAGCAGAACACATTAGCATTTGGGGACCACCTGGGACTATTGTGGGGAGGAGCTGGTCAGCGACTTCCAGATGGATTGTGAGACAATCCATTGATATTTACATAAGGAGAATAAATGTTTTTTCTAAGATAGCATTTCCCTTCAGCGTCTTGAGACCACCAGCAAAAGAAGGAGGTACAGAAATTCTATTACATTAATAGTCTTTGTTTTTATGGCTTTGGCATTTATTAACTAGTGGGAGCTGTTTATTGGGTCATAAACTTTACTAATGGGGATATTATCTCTAAATTATAAATCTCCTTCAGTATATGGCTAAGTTATAAAAAGAATAATTATTTAAAGTGTCTGTACGGCTGCAATGTATCATGTTTATCGGCATGATTCCTATAATGGTCATTTAATTGCTAATTGTGGGCTTGAACCAGGAACAACCAGGGCAGTCACACACATCTTTGCAATAGAGTGAGTGGTCACCTCACAAACTCAGGAGCATTATCATTGGTTTACTTTTCCTTTTCACTTCCTACTTCTCAAGTGAATTACATTAGGAGCCTGTACCAGGGCTAAATTATCTACATATTTATACTCTTGAGGGAAAGACAGCTGACTGAAGAATTGAATAGGTAAGTGACGAATGTGTCAGCTTGAAAAGTTCCAGGACAGTGTCATCCTTCTAAAAGCTTGCTCTCTGGGGGATGAAAAATCTCAAAAGTGACAAAATGGCTGGGAATTGTCAGTTGTTTAAAAAAGAATGGAGCAAAAATCAAGTAGTCAAAATTAGGTTTTCTGGGTAGATGGTTCTAGTATAAAATATGAATATACTAGTTTATTGAAAAGTCCTATGGGGTCTCTTCCAACAGTGGAGCATGCAGAATTATCCTAGTTTATATATAGAAATAGTTTATTAACTTCGATTAAAAAAATGAAAGAGCCATTGTTGTTGAGCAAATTGGTACATCTGAGTGCCAAGAGGCCAGCTCATTTCTAGATAAGAAGCTGATGCAAATGTGGAGTGAAAGAATAATGAGACACAGGTGCCCTTGAGATGTCATCAGCTCCTCTTCCTCTCTTCAGAGCGGTCCCTGAAAGGTAAATGGGGCAGTTCCTTCTTGATAGGCTTCCATTGTCTCAGTGAACACCAGGCACATGAATTTATGATACACAGTCCCCAATGGCGAAGAATAGGGTAGCTTGGGATAGAATTCTTAACTAAATTCCCAGAAGTCCACACTATAGGTTTTAATAAAATTTACACCACATGACAAGAGTTCTGCTGCAGAAAAATAAAAATAGAACTAGAGAAATGCAGGGGAAAATGATTTAGTTTTAGCATATTTAAGTCTCTGGGATGGAGAAGGTGATGTGTTTATGTGTAAAATGAATAAAAAAAACCTCTCAAAATCTTCAATATTCACATCCCTATATCTTTTAGGCTTAGTATATTTTTGGTCATACTATGGCTACAGCCTAAGCTAAAAAGTTGACTTTAGATACAAAAAGGGCATTAAAAATATAATACTGTTTATATTTCTATTGCTCTCCCAGATTTGCATATGTGTGTGTGTGTGTGTGTGTGTGTGTGTGTGTGTGTGTATTGGACTGTGGGTGGAGTTCTTTTTCTTCCCTAAACTTTACTCATTTCAGAAAATAATATATTCACTCCAACGAGGCTTAAGAATTATTTTGATGAAATGGGTTGCAACAAAACTTAATTATATAAGTAATAAATATGTGTTAAAAAGATTTCAAAAATATTTAATAAAATAGCAACTTATTGCTCTGATGTAATTTCATTTTATATTGCCATGTACAGCCATCAAGTCATCTTCTTTTTGCATTGTAAAGAAGCAAATTATGTCAGATAGAAAATTATCATAAGATTCTTTGGTATCAATAAATCATAAATACAAAAAAAATGTTCGACATTTCTTTTAATGGCATTTTTTAATAGTGCCGGTATATCAGCAATACAATATGATGTTCTGAAAAATCTCAAGGGACAAAAGAAGATTAATTGTGGTTTATGGGTTTCCATTTAATATAAACTTGTTTCTTTTTGTTTTTGATGAAATTATGTCTACTGAAAGAAACTTGGCAAAATTAGAGCCATAAATGAAAGGGAGTTCACCAAAACTGGCAGATCTGTTCCTCTAAGCCATACACGTCCTTCAAAAGAGTGAAGTAGTCAATGCATTTTGCAGGAATAGGTGATGGCATCCCAAGCCAAACATCTTCACATACCTGGAAGAAAACAAAGGTGGGTATGGTTAGAAATCCATCTAAAAGTAAATTTTTGAAAATTCAACATTAAATTATTCCTTGTTTTTACATAACCTTTTGGCAAGCAGTTTATTTTCAAAGTGAAATTCCTACTATCTACTTCAGAATCATACGAACTTTGTGACAGCCTATATTCTTGTTCCATTTATTTGTTTATTTTTTTGGAGAGTTTTTTCTTTTTTTTTTTGGAGAGGTTTTCACTATAGGGTGCGTGCGCTTGCCAGACAGACAGAGAGAGACAGAGAGACAGAAAGCGAGAAATCACCCCCCAGGGGGATGGCCACGCCGCAATCCCTTCTCCTCCATTCTCCTCTCAGGATCTTGGGCACACACGCACATGCGCCCAGTGTGAGTTTAAGCCACCAGGTCTGGGACTTGAACTGCGGTCAACTACGTGGGAATCTAGCGACAGCCATTACGCTAACTCCCTTGTTCCATTTATTTACTTAAGTTTCTTTCTTCTGTAAGTGAAAGAGGCAGAGACAGGCACTCCCAACAGGGTCTTCACACGGCAATCTACTCCTGGCTTCAGCCAGCCCCTTAAACATGTGCACACATACACCTGAAGTGTTTAGGGAGGTCTATGGACACAAGCCTAAAATTTTCCTCTGTGAGTCAGCCTCACAGAGTGTTCCATTATTGCTCCACCAGTGTTTGGTGTTTGGCCTCTTCTTGTTCTTTTATATATATATATTTTTTTTTGGCTAGAAGGCACATGCACTTGCCAGAGAGAAACGAGAGAAACAGAGAGACAAAGAGTGAGGACAAGAAAAGAACCCCCTCCCCCCCCATAGGGAATGGTCACATCACAATCCCTTCTTCCGTTTCTCTCTCATTCTGGGATTTTTTTTTTTTTTTTGGAGAGATTTTCACTGTAGGGCGCGTGCGCTCGCCAGACAGACAGAGAGAGACATAGAGACAGAAAGCGAGAAATCACCCCCCAGGGGGGATGGTCACGCCGCAATCCCTTCTCCTCCATTCTCCTCTCGGGATCTTGGGCACGCACGCACACGCGCCCGGCGTGAGTTGTAAGCCACCGGGTCCGGGACACGAACCGCGGTCGACTACGTGGGAGTCCAGCGACATAGCCATTACGCTAACTGCTGGTTCCCTCATTCTGGGATTTTGAGCACACATGTACCTGGTGTGTTTCTCAAGTTGCCAGATCTGAGACTCAAAGCATGTGATTAGCCATGTGGGATCCAGTTGCCTTAACCAACTTGGCCATGGAGTCAGATGAGTGGATTTTTGTTCTTAATTCTTAGTTCCTGCTCTGTCTTAGAATTATGTGCCCATGCTCTTTGTCATATGACTTTTCAGAACCTCCCAGGGATTAAAGGAGTAGATTTTCCTGTCCCTTGAGTTGAGCCATAGGACTGGCCTTGGCCTATGTGCTATTAACAGATGTATTATGAACAGAGCCTCAAGTATGCTATCTGGTTTGGCTTTCTGTGCCTCTGCATTCAGCATGAGAAGAACACGGCTGAGGGCCCTGCTGATCCCAGAGTGTGTGGAGCAGACCAGGTGTGTAGCAGATCAGGCCCAACCTGCATTCTGAGCTAAATCCAGTTCATCTGACCTGCAGGCCTACAGACCAGAAAGATAAATGTACTTCACTGTGAATAACTGAAATTTTGGGAATTGTTTGTTATGCAGCATTATCTCAGTGACAGCTCCTTCTATACTTTATTAAAAAACTCAGTTTTTAACAACCAAATAAGGTGCTAGCAGGTAGCATGGTGGTTAAGGCACTGGACTCCCACACGGCTGACTACAGTTCAAGTCCTAGACCTGGTGGCTTGCTTTCTCACTTTTTCTCTTTCACTTTCTCTGGTGAGCACATTTGCCCTATGGCAAATTAAATAATAATAATAATAAATTAAATAAATAATTCTTTTTTTAAAATGGTAGCTACACTGGCTACTTGGTTACTGCTTCTTTTGATAAACAATGAAAAGAGCACCATATCACACACTTGAGAATAAGCTACTTTATATAGATGTGTGTGTGTATGTGTGTGTGTGTGTGTTTGTGTGTGCGTGTGTGTGTAGGATGGAAGTCTTCAAAAAGTTCACAGAAAGTGCATATTATAAAAAACTATGTGTAAAGGCCAGCGGGTGGTGTGGTGGTTAACAGCACTGGACTCCCACATGGCTGACCATGGTTCCAGCTACTACAGACCTGGTGGCTTTGTTTCTCACTTTCTATCTCTCTTTTGCTCTCTCTCTCTGTGTCTCTATCTGGTCAAAATAAAATAAAATAAATAAAATAAATAATGTTAAATAAGATAATCCTACAAAAATATCTATGTATAGATTTCAAATTTTTTGTACCAAAATAATCTCACACTTCGATTCTACTTTTCTGCACACAAACTTTTTGTATTTGCTTCAATGGTCAAATAATATCAACAGGGGTAGGGTGGCGGGAGTCCACCTAGTTGCTCTCATTTTTATTGTTGAGGTTAAGTGTTTTGCCTAAGAGGTTTTATATCCTTCTTTTTAGTATACAGAGTCATAAGGATAAGTCATCACAGAAACACAGGTAAAGACTCAATAATTCTATGTGATAGAATTTTGGAAGTAATGAGTAAGTGATGTTTCAGTTGCAGTTGAGCCTATGAGATGAGAAATAGTTCAAGAGAGAGTTAAAGGGATAAAGGATATTCTGGGCATAAGGAAGAGCAAAAGCAAAGGCTTGACCTAAAAATGAATTTTCTAGAAATGGTGAGGGAGCTGGACAGTGGCACAACAATGAAACATGGGGGCCAGCTGGACAGTAGTACAACAATAAACTCAGGCCAGTAGGTAGTGTGATGGTTGGGGCACTGAACTCCCATATGACTGACTGCAGTTTGATTCCTGGACCTGACGGCTTACGTTCTCACTTTCCCTTTCCTTTTCAATGTCTCTCTCTCTCTCTCTGGTGAGTGCATGTGCCCTGCAGCTCATTAAAAAATAATGATAAATAAAATTAAACATATAATTCTAACAAAACACACACACACACACACAAAAATACCATGACGCTCTGTTAGGCTGACCCACGTGGGAAGGTTCCAGGTTGGTATCTGAAGATCTCCCTAAGGACACCAGCCATGCCTGTACCCATGATCTGAGGTTGGAGTGCACTACAGCATCAGGATCCTGTTTGGGGTGCTATCTCTCTGTCTCTCTCACTCATAGAAGAAATAAACTTCAAAAAGACAGGTAAGGGGACCAGCAGTTGGCATAATGGCTATGTTGCTGGACTCCCATGTAGTCAACTGTGGTTCAAGTCCTGGACCCGGTGGCTTAAACTCATGCTGGGCGCGTGTGCATGCATGCCCAAGATCCCAAGAGGAGAATGGAGGAGAAGGGATTGCAGCATGACCATCCTCCCTGGGAGGTGATTTCTCGCTTTCTGTCTCTCTGTCTCTCTGTCTTCCTGATTAGCGCATGCACGCTATAGCAAAAGTCTCTCAAAGAAATAAAAAAAGGTAAGTAGCAGAGTGTGGTTTGGGGGCACATGGTGCAAAGTGGCAAGAAAGGTGCTTGGAAAAAGCAGCTGGGGCTAAACTCTGAGCCTTCTGTGCTAGTTCATACTTCAGGCTATGGTTAGAAGAAGTTGCTAGTAGATCTCAGCCTCAGGAATGACAAAAATCTGATTAGAAATTGATTACATAACTTGTTAGATGTATGAAGGATGAAATGAGGTAGGAAAATCTACTTGGAGGTGACTGTAAGAGCTCTAAAGAGACAGGTGTGCCATAACCAGAGCAGCTGGAGCTGGACAGAGAATAGCATCGGAAAGATTCTGCTGCAGGAGACCACAGAATACCTAGAGGTGAGAGACTGCAAATGGTGATATAAGAAAGGAGCAGTGCTATGGGTTACATTGTGTCCCCTTAAGAAGATATGTTGAAGGTGCCAGAAGGTGGCACATTGCTAATACAACTGGACCCACATGGGAAGGTCCTCAATTCATCCCCATGGGAAGGTCCTCAATTCATGTCCTTTCATATATTGGGTATGTGTGTGCATGCCAGTGATCTGGGCTGGGTGAGGCTGGAGGTAGACTGCAGTGTGACGACACTTTTGGGGGTACCTCTCTCTTTCTCTCTCTCAGAATGAATAAATGAATAGACTTTTTAAAAAAGATATTTTGAAGTCCTAACCCCTAATAATTCAGAATGTGACCTTATTTGGAAACAGGGTTGCTGCAGATGGAATTCGGTAAATTGAAGAAGATGAGATCATACTGAAGTAGGTGGGCCCCTAATCTGATATGACGGGTGGCCTTATAAGAACATGGCCACATGAAGATGGAGACACACAGGGAGAAAGAACACCATGTGACCACCAAGGCAAAGAATAGAGTTAAGCAGCTGCAAGCCAAGGAACACCACAGAGTGCTGGCAAACCATCAGAGCTTAGGAAGAAGAAAGGGAGGATTCCCAGAAAGGTTCCAGAGGGGGCATGGCCCTGGCTGGCATCTTGACTTTGGGCTCCTGGTCTCCAGAACTGTAAGAGAATGATTTCCTATGGTTTTAAGCCACCTAATTTATAGTACTACCTTAGGACAGTCTTAGAAAACTAATACAGGTAAAGGATGGTTCTAAGAATTCTAAATTTAGTAATAATTGATAGTGTCTGTATTTATTTCCTCAGGTTGCCCTAACAAACTTGGTGGCTGAAAGCATCAGAAATGTATTATCTCACAGTTCAGGAGGCCAGAAGTCCCAAATCAAGTTGTTGGCAAGGTTGGTTCCTTCTGGAAGCGCTAAGGGAAAATGTGTTCCATGCCTCTCCCTTAATTTCTGGTGGTTTCTGGCAATCCTTGGAGTTCCCTGGCTAGGAGACACATCATTCCAGTCTCTGCCTCTGCCTTCACATAATGTTACCTGTGTTTTTGCAAGTCCTTCTGATAGGGCACCAGTCACTTGACTTGGGGTCTACCCTAATCCAGTATGAAACCATTTT